GGACAGGGCTTGGAGCGACCTGGGCTAGTGGAAGGTGTCCCTGCCCATGGCAGGGTGTTGGAACAAGATGATTTCAAAGATCCCTTCCAACCCAAACCATTCTGTGATTCTATGGCAATTCTGTGAGAGAACTATCCCATGGTGCTGCTGGAAAGATAGAAAGACATGAATGTTACTAGGAGGAATTAATGTTATTTCCAAAAGGGTGCTCACACTAAAAACTAAAAGTCTAAAAACTCCATGAAATTACAGTTCCTGTCCACATGTGAGCATTCAGGCTGGGACAGTTAAAATTGGCTTCACCCACTGGATTGAAGAGCCAGTAGCCCAATGTCCAGCTCAGATGAGTTTTGGTTACCTCTTGGACACATCATGTGTATTCCAGCAGCATCGTTATACCAGCCAGTGGAAATATGATTAGAGTGCTCTTGTTAAATATTCTTAGTCCCAGAGGGATAAAACCTGCTTCTAAAGATGCAGGGTCTCTTCAAAGGATTTTTTTTTTTAAGGATTTTTTTCTGCCAAAAATTATTTCCGCTGGTTTTAGATTTCTCATTTTCTTGCCTCTATGCATTGAGTGGCTACACCACAGGACGAGGTGACATGAGGAACAGGTCATGCAGGAATTCTGAGCCTCATGGGGAAGAAAGATTGGCCTAAGCAAAGCCCTTTGAGCGTGGTAGCAATCCTCAAGTCCACCTTTAAACCACATTATTGTGTTATATCTCGGTTACAAAAACTTTGAGCAATGCAGTCAAGAGATTTGTTTGATTGATTTCCTGCTTATCTATAGAAGGAACCTGAAGATTGTCTTGGGCAGAAAACAGGGAAACAATTTCAGACACAATCTCAGGCTATTTCAGAAGCAAAGGAAAATAAGTGCTGATCCCACATATTGGGCGAGAAACCTGTATTTTTATCAACAAAAAATGTGAGGGAGAAAATGTAGGTGATCATCCTTCTCTGTTTCGTTGCTGAATGGATTTTGGCTTGAACATATCCCCCAAGAGATCTAATCATTCAGTTCATTGGTTGCTCTGAAATTCAATTTCTGATAGCATTTCCTATACCTCTGTTAGGTATTTGCTCTTCAAATTAGTGATTTTTTATTTTTTTAATTCTGATCTCTTTCCTCAGAGTCACATAACCGAGTTTTAATCACACACTCCTCTCTGAAGGTAAAGAAGGGGCAAAAGTTTGGAAATATATACCAGAGAAGTGAATTTCATCCTGATTTTATTAAGGAAAATACATTTCTTATGTTCAATTTTAAATGTAAATGCTGCCAAAGAAAGTGGTGAACATAAAAATACAATAGGATCAGAGGAGACCGGAAGACAAAACTCAGAAAAGAGGCACCAGGGGCAGTTAACTGAGTTGCTTTCATTCACAGTGACTTCTGTTGTGAATTGATCCCAGCTAGGAATTGCTCTGCAATATTTCTCAGAGCAAAAATTGTATCAATATTCTGTTGTTCAAACAGGCAGATCAAATATTTCTTTTTTTTTCCAAACCTTACATTCGGCTTTAATAGATTTTTTTTATTTTTTTTTTCTCTTGTGCTTGGGAACTGAACAGTTTTCTGACCTCTGCTTTTTTTGTGCCTGGTTGAAAATAATTCCCCACGATCAATTAGCTGCTGGAATAAGAGGGTGGAGGAGCTGATGGGAAGATCTGGAGTCCACTTCTGCCTGCGCCTGCATCAGCTGTTTCCTCTTGAACAAGTTAGATTGCTGCTCAAAGCTCGGTTTCCCCCAGCTCTAAAGCAAACTTAATGATACTTATCTTCCTTTGCTTTGAGATGCCTGGGTGACAAGTGCTTTAGAGGAGTTGAGAGTCCTTAGGAAGATGGGCTTGTCCTTGTTGCAGTGTGGAATTTTGTTCAGGAGAGGGCTGACACATGCAGCCAAGTGGTCTTTATGGTGTTCTAATCATTCACCAAGTAGCATTTTTGTGGTGGCAAGATCAAAGCTTGCCCCAGTACTCAAGGTGTGACCACACCAATGGATTTTTATAGCAGCCTCCCGTTCTCTGGTTTATTTTCTTTTTCTTTCTCAGTAATTCCAATTTTTTGTTTGTTTGTTTCCTTTCTTTCACTCGGAGCTTGAGATAAAGTTTTTCAGGGAGCCAGCTAATGTAATTCCAACATTTGTTTTGTGAATGAAAATACCCAGAGCTCATGACTCTCCATGGTAAAGTTAAGGTTGTTTTCTTCCCCCCCCGAGTTACCCTTGCATCAAGTGATTTATGTGCCATGTTATTGCCTGATCACTTAGTGCTGTGAGTCCCTTTACAGCTCTTTGCAATCAGGCTTTATCTGAGCTGTTCTGAGTAGTTTGATGTCACTAAAGATCTATCAGCCTGTTCTTCATTCCCTTTTATAGATGGGTGTAAAACAGCACAGATGTACTGGTAGCCTCTGTCCATTGAGAAAATAGAATATATAGATATATATATGTATATATGTGTGTATATATATATATATTTATGTATTCCTACCCTTTTTCTCATGTATTTTTATCCATAGTGCTCTTCCCTCCAAACCTCTGACGAGTTCAATGGGAACCTTTAGGGAAACAAATTTGAATTCCTTTCAGAAACCTGAATGCACTGACCACAGGGTCTCCCTTGTCCCCATGCTGACTCCTTCAGAGGACTTCACAAAGCACATCATTCTTCCCTTTTACACCTTGTTTCTACAAATGCTCTTCTTTACAAAGAGTTTGTCCAGCTCAGCTTCAGGTTATGGGATGTAGCAGTAGCTATATATAGCAACCACTGGCTGATGCTCTGGAAGACCATGAAACTTTCTTCAGTAAATATCGAGTGTTTAGGTGGCATTTTTTAGTCTCCGAATATTTTCTTATTTTCTGCTGATTCTCTCCACCCTTATGCTTCCACTTCTGCATTGTTCTGTTGAGAGACTGAGGTTTTATTAATATTATTATTGATATATCTTTTTCTTTTTCCCTTATCCTTCCTGACTGTCTCCTGTTTTTCTCAACCACTGGATTGCTGATTAAATTATTAAATGATTTTCCTATTG